CCACAAGGGAACAGAGCAGGCTGGGACCTAGAAAGCAGGCTCCGCCTGTGCTGCTGAGGGTGGGGCCAAAGGTGAGCCACGCCCTCCCGAAAACCCAATGCATTGTGAATGAATCCCAGGCGCTGAGCTCTGGATGGTTTGCACTATTGGAGCTTGCTTTTTGCCTTATGCAGATTGTGGTTGTGCCCATTTTCTCCCTCTTAAAGTAAATTTTTTTGTAATTTATTTTATTTTATGTGCATTAATGTTTTCTTTGCCTGCACATATGTCTGTGTGAGGATGTTATATATGCTGGAACTGGAGTTACAGACAGCTGTGAGCTGCCATGTGGATGCTGGGAATCGAACTCAGGTCCTCTGGAAGAGCAGTCAGAGCTCTTAACCACTGAGCCGTCGCTCCAGCCAGGTACTTTATTTTTGATATTGCAGGAACACACAGTTGAGTGATTTTAAACTTTTTTTTTTTTTTTTTTTTTGGTTTTTTGAGACAGGGTTTCTTCTGTGGCTTTGGAGGCTGTCCTGGAACTAGCTCTTGTAGACCAGGCTGGCCTTGAACTCACAGAGATCTGCCTGCCTCTGCCTCCCAAGTGCTGGGATTAAAGGCATGCGCCACCATTCCCGGCTTGAGTGATTTTAAACTTTAAAAGGAAATTTTTAGAGTTTTATAGAAAATGTAAAAACCGGATTTTTTGTTTGTTTGGTTTTTTGTGTTTTCGAGACAGGACTTTGGAAGCTGTCCTGGAACTAGCTCTTGTAGACCAGGCTGGTCTTGAACTCACAAGAGATCCGCCTGCCTCTGCCTCTCGAGTGCTGGGATTAAAGGCATGCGCCATCATTCCCGGCTCAAAAACTGTTTTTTTTTTAAAGTAGCAGTTTCAAGGTTTTGTTTTTGTTTTTTTTGAAACAGGGTTATGGAACATTTTACGTCTATAAAATGTTTTATGTTATTAATATTTGAACTAAAATATAAAAGGTTAAAAATTAAGGTCACAGCTGTGAGCACCAAATACTAAACACAGGAAATTGTGATGTTTCTGTCTTTTGATGCAGCAAAACAATGACTTATGCTGTCTGGCAAAAGGTTTTGGAGCAGCTTCTCAACCAGTAAGTCTGGGCCCTTTGGGGTAGCCTAGGACCACCTGCCTGTGGGATGTTTGCATTGAGATTCATAACAATGGCAAAATTGCAGTTGTGAAACAGCAAATGACTTTGTGGTTGGGGGATCACAGTGTGGGAACTATATTGAAGGGTTGAAGCATTGGGAAAGTTGAACCATTGGCTCAGAGAATGTCTCTCCTTAGGTCTATTCAGGCTTAAGAGTTCAGGTCTAGCCTCCTTGTTTTTGCTAACTTTGTTAAGCTTAAACTATTTAGATAAACTGAGTCCTACAAGAAACTGTTACATTCTGTAATGGTGTGTATTTTCCCATATAGTTATTTGCCACTTACACGCGTTCTTCTGAAAGCTGCTTTTTCAGTTCATTGACTCACTGACTAGATGGCTTCTTTCACTGGTATGTGGTCTCTGCAGTTCTTCATGTATCTTGACTATTAATTCCCTCTCCAATGTGTAGTTGGCAGCTGTTTCTTTCCCATTTGGTGGCTCTCTTCCATCTGGTGATTGTTTCCTTTGTATGCAGAAACTTTCATTTCATTTCTTTCTTTCTTTTTGTTTGTTTGTTTGTTCAGTGTTTTTCTGTATAGCCCTGGCTGTCCTGAAACTCACTCTGTACACCAGGCTGGCCTCAAACTCACAGATCTACCTGCCCGTGTCTCCTGAGTGCTGGGATTAAGGGAGTGTACCACTATGCCCCACTTTCAGAAAACTTTTAATACCATTTAATCTCATTTGTCAATTCTTGGGATATTTCCTGTGCTATTTGGAGTCCTTTCCAGAAAGTCCTTACCTATGTCCATATCGTAGTTTAAACTATATTTTCCTATAACAATATCAAAGTCATAGGTCTTATATTACAGTCTTTGATCCATTTTGCATTGATTCTTTTCTGGAGTTTATGGCCCTCAATATGAAAATCTGCAGGCCGACTTCCTTCATGGTCACATGACAGCTCCCACAGTTCTAAGAATCATGTCTAGGTTCAGTGCTGCTGCTCAGGTGAAGAAGGGACGTCCCTTCCACCAGCTGCTTCTGAGAAACTAAGAGGACTACGCCAAAGGGCTGAGCGGGAGCTGGAAATGGGGGAGCACACGGGAAGCAGAGACAGGAGGACCAAGAAAGCTGAAACATGGACATGGGCTCCCAAGACAGCTCAGCAGGGAAGGGCACTGCCACCAACCCCAATGACCTGTGTTTGATCTGCAGAACCCACATGAGGAAGAAGAGAACTGACTCTCACAGGTTGTTCTCTGATCTCCACCATGGCATGGGCGCGCACACACACGCACGCACGCACACACGCAGGAAAGAGAGAGAGGGAGGGAGGGAGAGAGAAAGAGAGGGAGGACTGCAAGCAGACTTTATTTCATGAGTCATTGGCCATACTTGGGTCACTTAACACCATTAAACCATCTCTGTCAACACTAAGGGGAATTCCCATAGCTGGTTTAGAGCAATTATCTCAGAGCTCGATTGGAGAGCTGTGAGGAACAGTAGCCACAAGGTGCAGAGAGGCCTGGGCATGGGGTGACAACCACAGGCATGGGGTGACAACCACAGGCAACTGCTCCTCCAATACCCCCGTAATTCCTGTTTCCCAGGCAACCCCAGGTCCTTATCCACTCCCATTTCTAAAAGTGTTCCTTCTGGGTGATTGTGAACCCTGAGAGCTTTCTAGGGCTTTCGTTTGTTTTCAGAGTGGAACTCTCTTCTTTATGTGTCAGTACCAAGTTCTGTTTATTTTACTGCCTGAGGGTAGTCATATGTCACCTGACAGGGACATAATCCCAACGAAATGCATTGTTATATGACAGTGTTTTTTTTTGTTTGTTTGTTTTTTGTTTTTTGAGACAGGGTTTCTCTGTATTGATTTGGAGGCTGTCTGTTCTGGAACTTGCTCTGTAGACCAGGCTGGCCTCAAACTCACAGAGATCCACCTGCCTCTGCCTCCCGAGTGCTGGGATTAAAGGCTCGGCCACCAATGCCTGGCTAGATGACAGTTTTTATATGAATGCCACAGACTGTACTTTTGCAAGCTGAGCTGGCCACTAAGTCATTAGATCACAGAATCTAAAAATGTCCCTGCACTGTACATATGGTTAATTCTCATTGTCAACTAAAACACTTATACAGTACATGACTGTACACCACCCCACCCCCACCCCAGTGTGTGTGTGTGTGTGTGTGTGTGTGTGTGTGTGTGTGTGTGTGTGTGTGTGGTACATGTTCCTGTCTGTGGAGACCAGAGATTGATGTCAAGCATCTTCCCTAATTACTTTCCATCTTTGTTTTTGTTTATTTTTGTTGGTTTTTTTTTTTTTTTTTTAGATAAGCTATCCCCTTTGCTGTCTTGGAACTCATTGTGTAAACTAGGCTGGCTTCAAACTCACAGAGATCCTCCTGCTGTCATCCAAATGCTGAGATTAGAGATGTGTGCCACTACTGCCCAGCTTGCTACCTTGGTTTTTTTGTTTGTTTGTTTAAAGTTTTTTGGTTGTTTTTGTTTTTGAGACAGGGTTTCTCTGTGTTACCCTGGCTCTTCTGGAACTCACTCTGTAGACCAGGCTGGCCTCAAACTCAGATAATCCCATTTTTTAAATTAATTTATTTTTTACATTCCAATCCTAATTTCCCCTCCCTCCTCTCTTCCCCTCCCCCACTCCCCTCTTCCTCCTGTCTGCTCTACAGAGAGGGTAAGGCCTCACCTAGGAGCTTGATTTTTAATGTCTGTGTGTTGTGTATGTTTATATGCCTGTGTGTGGGTGTCTGCAGAGGCCCGAAGAGGGTATCAGATCTTCTGTAGCTAGAGTCACAGCTGGCTGCCTCACATGCTTGCTGAGAACTGAACTCAGCAAGAAGAATAAGTGTCCTTAACAGAGAAGAGGCCCCTCCAGGCCTGTTGTCACACTTTTTGAGACATGGTCTCATGAGACTTGGGAGCTCATGATTTCAGCAAGACTGGCTAGCCAGTGAGCTCCAGGGACTGTCCTCCTCGTCCTCCTCAGTGCTGCAATTACAGGTAGGTAATTCACACCTGGCTTCCTGAATGAGGGCTGGGGATCTGAACTCAGGTCCCCATGCTTGAGCGACAGACACTTTACCGACTGAGCCAGCTCCACAGCCCATCCGTACTTCCAGAGTTCCCCAACTTCGTTTCCACAGCCCTTCCTTCCACTTCCTGGAAATTAAAGGTGGTCCAGGTGCTGGAACTATAAAGCTAGAGGTCGGTCTGTCCGTGCATCTCTGTCTGTCTGTACATTCATTTGTGAACTTGGAGATACTTTCACATCTCAGACAGAATGTGCCTGAGATTAAACACAACAGATGAAACAGATGCATCTGACTTTCCTTTGGGCCACCAACCAGGGGCACCCAAATCATGACACATTGACTTATTATTAGTTATGAATGTTCTGCCTTAGCTTAGGCTGGTTTCTTGCTAGCTCTTTCTTTTTTTATACTAACCCTTTATTGAGCTCACATTAGTGACTATTACTATTTTCTTTTAATTATTTATTTATTTACTGTGCATTGGGCTTTGCCTGCATGTATGTCTGTATGACAATGTTACATCCCCTGGAACTGGAATTTCAGACAGTTGTGAACTGCTGTGTGGATTCTGGGAGTTGAGCCTGGGTCTGCTGGAAGAGCAGCCAGAGCTTTTAACCTCTGAGTCATCTCTCCAGCCCAGTGACTATTATTCTTATTTTTTAAAATAAATTTTATTTAAATTAGAAACAATCTTATTTTACATATCAATCCCAGTTCCCTCTCCCCCCATGGCCCCCACTGGTCCCCCATCCACTCCTCAGGGAGGGTGAGGCCTTTACATGAGGGATCATCAAAACCTTTGGCTAGCTTTTATAACTTAATATTTCTCTTCATCTATATTTCTTTCATTCTATATGTCCTACTCTGTGTCTGGCTGGCCCCAGGAGTTTCCTTCTCTTTCTCCCAGATTCTGCCTACCACTTATTTTCTCTGCCCACCAGCTCTGCCTGTCCCTCTACTGCCTGGATCCTGGCTGCTCAGCTTTTTATCAGACCAATCAGGTGCCTTAGGCAGGTAAAGCAACACATCTTCACATTGTTAAACAAACGCAGCACAAACAAATGTAACACACCTTTACATAGTTAAAGCAGAGGCAGAGTGCTTATCTAGTATGTTTGAGGCCCTGGCTTGCCCTCAGAATTGGAACGGAGATTTTGAGCGACAACATTTGAAACCAAGGCTTCAGAGACTCCTGAGATTTGCAGGTGCCACTATGAAAGCTAGATGCCTTTGGTTGGTTGGTTGGTTTTGAGACAGGGTTTCTCTGTGTAGCCCTGGCTGTCCTGGAACTCACTTTGTAAGACCAGGCTGGCCTTGAACTCACAGAGATCCACCTGCCTCTGCCTGCTGAGTGCTGGGATTAAAGGCGTGCGGCCACCACCACCCAGAAGTAGATGCCCCTTTTGACTATGCCAATTTTATTTAAAAACCAAAAGTCTTAGCTCATGCAAGAGTTCTGAGGCAAGGAAGTTTCTGAAACAAAAACAAAGCAACGTCTTTATGATCCCCTGTGTAAATAAGTAGCCAGAAGATAAGAAAATAGTGACCTTGGGGGCAGGGTGAAGATGCAGGAGTGAGGGAGGTCCTGTTGAGGCTAACGCTCCTCTGCTCCTCCCGCTGCTTGGTCAGGGGTCAGCGCCTCTGAACCTTGACCTCTGGGGCTCCTCAGGAAAGCGTGGGCACTGCTGATACGGGGCAGACTCACTGAGATGCTGAGGTGGTAACACGCGGGAGGCAATTTCTGGTACTGTTCAACCCACCGGAGGAGATAACAGAAGAGCTTTAGCACAGGGCCCTCTCAGTAACTGCTGCACACCTGTCCTCTGAACATTTGGCTCTCTTCCCGGGCCTGCTGTGGACCAGGGCAGACACACCCTCTCTGTGTCTCGGCTTCTGTGTTGGCAAAGCTGGACTAGGGCCTCACAGAATGGAGAAACACCAAGGTCTTATTCCAGACGTCTAATACTCATGAAAACACAGAGACACGGTTCCTTTAAAAAACATATTTTTAGCCAGTGTGGGGATGGGGGGGTGACGCCTTTGGTCCCAGCACTGGGGAGGCAGAGGCAGGCAGATCTCTGTGAGTTTGAGGCCAGCCTGGTCTACAGAGTGAGTTCCAGGACAGCCTCCAAAGCCACAGAAAAACCCTGTCTGGATTTTTTTTCTTCAAGAGAGGGTCTGTCTGTGTAACTTAGACTGGCTTTGAACTTTCAACCCTCTTACCCCGGCCTTCCAAACAGGATTATAGTCCTGCTGTTCCCAGCTCCATTCCTGTTCAGCAGGGACTGGGGCATGGATTTTGAGAGGCTGCAGACCTGCTTTTCAAAGACAATTTGAGGGATCAGAAGGCTCCCACCGGACCATCCTCCACATCTTGGTAACTGGTACCACCATTCCCCCAGTCGCACTGCTTGCCATAGGGAAGCCTTTGCCAACGCAGAAGCCGTAGATTCACGCCATCCTTTCTCCTCAACCTGATGGAGCTCCCTGTGACGACTGAGCACGTGAAATATGGTGAAATATGTCTTCCGGGGACTGAGGCACTGGATTCTGGTTTTCGCTTTAGTGTTGACAGCCATGTGTGGCTGCTGTGGGGTGAAGGACAGAGACGTGCATTCAGTGCAGAGAAGTGCATTCAGTGCAGAGACGTGCATTCAGTGCAGAGACGTGCATTCAGTGCAGAGACGTGCATTCAGTGCAGAGACGTGCATTCAGTGCAGAGACGTGCATTCAGTGCAGAGACGTGCATTCAGTGCAGAGAAGTGCATTCAGTACAGAGAAGTGCATTCTAGGGCTGCAGACGTGCATTCAGTACAGAGAAGTGCATTCAGTGCAGAGATGTGCATTCAGTGCAGAGATGTGCATTCAGTGCAGAGACGTGCATTCAGTACAGAGAAGTGCATTCCAGGGCTGCAGACGTGCATTCAGTACAGAGAAGTGCATTCAGTGCAGAGACGTGCATTCAGTACAGAGAAGTGCATTCAGTGCAGAGAAGTGCATTCAGTGCAGAGACGTGCATTCAGTGCAGAGACGTGCATTCAGTGCAGAGAAGTGCATTCAGGGCAGAGACGTGCATTCAGTGCAGAGACGTGCATTCAGTGCAGAGACGTGCATTCAGTGCAGAGACGTGCATTCAGTGCAGAGACGTGCATTCAGTGCAGAGACGTGCATTCAGTGCAGAGACGTGCATTCAGTGCAGAGACGTGCATTCAGGACAGAGACGTGCATTCAGGACAGAGACGTGCATTCAGGACAGAGACGTGCATTCAGTGCAGAGACGTGCATTCAGTGCAGAGACGTGCATTCAGTGCAGAGACGTGCATTCAGTGCAGAGACGTGCATTCAGTGCAGAGACGTGCATTCAGTGCAGAGAAGTGCATTCAGTGCAGAGAAGTGCATTCAGTGCAGAGACGTGCATTCAGTGCAGAGACGTGCATTCAGTGCAGAGACGTGCATTCAGTGCAGAGACGTGCATTCAGTGCAGAGAAGTGCATTCAGTGCAGAGACGTGCATTCAGTGCAGAGACGTGCATTCAGTGCAGAGACGTGCATTCAGTGCAGAGACGTGCATTCAGGGCAGAGACGTGCATTCAGGGCAGAGACGTGCATTCAGTGCAGAGAAGTGCATTCAGTGCAGAGAAGTGCATTCAGGACAGAGACGTGCATTCAGTGCAGAGACGTGCATTCAGTGCAGAGACGTGCATTCCAGGGCTGCAGGGAGGCCAGTGTTTGTGGCTGCTCTGTGCACCCAGCAAGGCCTGTAGACAGAGGAGAGAAAAACAGGGCCCAGATCAAACAGCACATCTGTAGGCCGTCTGGAGGAATTTGGAGTTTCTTCTTATTTATTGCATTTTATTTCAGTGAATATTTTGGGCACAGGAAATGAAACTGGAAGCCTCGTCATTTAGTGACTTAAACTTTGCAATGACATGTCATGTTTGCTGTATTCTTTTCATTTGAACTCAGGCAATGCAGCCCTATTCTGGGGTGGGAGCTTTAGGGTATGGATGCTGAAAGGCAGAGATGGGTGGAGCCAGGGACACCTTAGATGTTGTCCACCATGGTTCCTCACAGGAGGTTCTGGACAAGAGAGGGACTGGGTCAGGTTGTTTATTGCTTGTTTTGACTTTTTGAGTCAGGGTCTCTCTACATCACCCTAGCTGACCTGATCTCACTTTTTGTATTAGGCTGGCCTTGAACTCACAGAGCTCTGCCTTCCTTGATCTCCCAAGTGCTGGGATTAAAAGTGTGCACCACAAACCTAGCACCGTTGGTACTTTTAAAAAGAAGCAACCTAGCCAGGCATTGGTGTCACACACTTTTAATCCCAGCACTCAGGAGGCAGAGGCAGGTGGATCTCTGAGTTCGAGGCCAACCTGGTCTACAGAGTGAGTTCTAGGACAACTAGGGCTACACAGAGAAACCCTGTCTCTAAAAACCAATTTAAAAATAAGTAAATAAAAAGAAGCAACCTGGTTGGGTGCCATGGCATATACTTATAATCCTTACTAGGGATACTAACGCAGGATTGCTTGCAGTCAGAGTTCAAGACCAACCTGGGTGACAAATATAAAGAGCTTGTTAGAAGAAAGATAGATATGTAAGATGGGAGGGAATGGGCGGAGGTAGTAGCTATATAGCGCATTACTCTATAGGAAAGGACCAATTTTTACTAACTCAATTAGTGCACCTTTTTGAACAATGATGCAATCAATAACCTTGAATGTTTATTTCTTTGGCCTGAGTGCAATGACTTCTGTAGGTCAGATTCCAGGAAATGTGCCTCTCACATTATCGTTTGGTTATTTTGTTCAAATTAAAATGTTCTGGGGAGCTGGAGAGATGGCTCAGAGAGTAAGAGCACTGGCTGCTCTTCCAGAGGTCCTGAGTTCAATTCCCAGCAACCACATGGTGGCTCACAACCATCTGAAATGAGATCTGGTGCCCTCTCTGGCCTGCAGGGATACATGTAGGCAAAACACTGTATACATAATAAATAAATAAATCTTAAAAAAAAGTTCTCTCCTGGAGATTGGTGAGTGTGTGTGTGCGTGCGTGAATGTGTGTTTATGTGTGTCAAAAGACCAAGGAAGCAAAGGAGACCTCTCAGGCTTAGGAAGCTCGGACAGATTCAAGACTCACAGGGTTAGGTAAGCGGGAAAGAATTGCGGGAGAAGGGGCTCTTGAGTGGAGCTTCCTGCACACTGGGCAGTAAGCTCCAGGGATGCAGCTTTCCCAGGTCCTCGAAATGCTGGCTGGGTGATTCTGCCACCTGGGAGTCACCGGTGATATAATTAATTCAGATGAACCCATTGGTCCATGGGGCTAGAGCTGGGCAGGGCTGTCTCTATGATCTGTTGTTGGTGCCCTGTCTGGGGCGGATAGATGTTTGTTTATATCTTCCCAGGAAAAGTCACGCAACACATAAAGGTAGATTTCCCCCTTTTTAAAGACATCTCTAGGAGCTGGAGAGATGGCTCCTCTTCCGGAGGACCTGGGTTCAATTCCCAGCACCCACATGGCAGCCCACAACTGTCTGTAACTTCTGTTCCAGGGAATCCGACACCCATAGCAAAACATCAATGTACATGATAAACGAATAAATAAATAAAACCATCCCTAAAACCAGGGAGTTGTGACTGGTATCATCTCTTCACCTCCAATTAATTCCAGCTCAACAGTGGTTTCAAGTCACTGGTTTACAAGCCCTGTCTGCTGCAGCCGGGCGTTGGTGGCGCACGCCTTTAATCCCAGCACTTGGGAGGCAGAGGCAGGCGGATCTCTGTGAGTTCGAGGCCAGCCTGGTCTACAGAGTGAGTTCCAGGACAGCCTCCAAAGCCACAGAGAAACCCTTTCTCGAAAAACAAAAAACAAAAAACAACAACAAGCCCTGTCTGCTGCAACCCGAGGACAGGGTACCACATTCTGCTAATGGCTCATCCCAAAAGGTCTGCTTCCCGTCTTAGCCAAATATTTGGTTGCAAACAGCCAAACCAGACTCTGGGTAATCTAAGAAGGCTGGGAAGAGACTGGGCAACTCCTGGGGGTGCTTGTGAAATTTCCCATGCCAGGAAGAGCTGGCTTAACACATCTGTCCTTGCTCTCCTCACACCCCCACCCTGCCCTGCCCCCACAGTGAATTTCAAGTGACCTCCAGCTGTCTTGTATTGGTCTCTTCAAAGATCTGGCTGGGAACATGCTATGTTACCTGGAACCCAAGTAAAATCTATTTCCTTTCTCTGATCTTAGTGACTGTTGGGGCCTCCCTCTACATCTCCTAGGACTCCTCCCAGGTGGAACCAAAGCAGAGTGCATGTCTTTCACGGTCCACTTCCACAGTGCAGCCTGGAGCCCTTCAGAAAAACAAACCTACGTCCCTTCTTAAAATCTGCCTCCACGACTCCCCATTGCCCTCCAACTGAAGGCCGTGGACCTCCTTGATCCAGACTCCACCCAAGGGCTGTCTGCATTCCACGTGCCCCTTGCTTAGCTCAATGCCCACCCATGAACTGCACAGATGCTCTGCCCCCCAGTGCTGCACTCATTAGCTGCCCTTTCCTCCTCCACAGATCCTTATTGGTGTTGCACTTGTTGAAACTTATTTTTTAAAATAACTTATTTATTTTTGTTTTATGTGCATTGATGTTTTGCTTGCATATATATGTGTGTGAGCAGGCCGGATCCCCTCGAACTAGAGTTACAGACATGTGTGAGCTGCCCTGTGGGTGCTGGGAATTGAACCTGGGTCCTCCCGAAGAGCAGCCAGTGCTCTTAGCTGCTGAGCCATCTCCCTAATCCCCTAGACGTATTTCTTTACTTATGTTAACTAATTAACTTGCTGTGTGTAGCTAGAGAGTAAGTAAAGTTGATTGTTCTCGTCCACCATGTGAAACTCAGATCAAATTCAGGTCTTTCATATTTAGTCAGGCGCGGCCTCAGTGGCTTCTTCTACCGTTGGGCCATTTCACCAGTCACCTTTACAGACCCTTGAAAACGCAGAAAGTCTTTAGCCAGATGGTTCTTTCCATCCTCCACGCCATCAAATGTGCACATTCTCACTCAGCCCTCAGGTCTCACTTGGACACAGCAGTCTTCATTAGGTGCCTAATAGTCCACTAGCCAGAGCTATCATTTGTAAGTACAAAATCATTGTCTATGGGTATCACATTTCACTGAGCAACCTCTCCCTGCAAACCACAATGCCTTCCACGATCTAGCTCACACCCTTGCTTCTTGTCTGACCTCAGAGCACTGGACTCCGAGGTCGCCCACGCTTTTTCCCCTGGCCAAACTTAGCTTTATGCCTCTGGCGGTTCCACTCAAATGTGACACCCTGAGACCATTCTGGTGTCTTTAATGAGCTTGGGCGTTGGGTAAGCTGAGCACGCTCTACCACAAAGCTATGTCCCTAGGTCTCTTGAGCGCGCTCTACCACAAAGCTATGTCCCTAGGTCTCTTGAGCGCGCTCTACCACAAAGCTATGTCCCTAGGTCTCTTGAGCGCGCTCTACCACAAAGCTATGTCCCTAGGTCTCTTGAGCGCGCTCTACCACAAAGCTATGTCCCTAGGTCTCTTGAGCGCGCTCTACCACAAAGCTATGTCCCTAGGTCTTTTGGTTTTAGCAGCATGCATCATTCTAAAGGCACCCATTAATGTGCTCACTTACAGGGTTATTACCGCCTTTCTTCCCGCCTAGCACGTAAGCACGGAGACTTTGGTTTTCTTGTTGTCACCACTATATCCGGCACCTGGCTGGGTGCCCGGGACAACAGCAGTATTTTTGCAGGAGTGAATGAATGAATATGGATCAAAGACACTTAGTCGAATCCGGTTGTTCCTCAATCCCCGAGTTTGGGCAAGCCTCCGTTTCCTGCTGTGTGAAAAGGGGTAAGGAGGAGGAAGTGAGATATTGAACTATACTGTGTTGATGAGCTGCAAAAATTCGGACTTGTTATACCCCAGGCTCGGCGCGCAGCCAGCTACTCAACGTCCAGCGGCTCAGCTCCCCACCTGTATAAAGGGTGTGAACGCAACCTCAACGATTTGGGATTGTGGCGCTGCCTTATAAGGCAGTAGAAGCCGAAGGCGACCGGGCGGGTGGAAGGAGAGAAATCACAACATCCGGCTGCGGGGGCGGGGTGCGGCCGGGCAGGAGGCGGGCGCCGCTGGGGAGGCGTTTGCCTCCTTCCGTCCTCTGCTCGCGTGCGCCCTTCAGAAGCAGCTGGCCCAAAAGACGACGGCAGGACACACACGCTAACCAAGCTACCCGCTGGCAGGCAGGCTACACAGCGTGACCGCGACAAGCCCTGGAAATCCCATCGGCGGGCCCAAGGCACTGGGTCACGCCCCCATCCGATGACCCAATCAGATCGCACTGCTGCATGGTTGACGCTTCCTTAATTCAATCATACATTTTGTCTCCTGGGCGTGGCCCCCCCCAGAGCCCACCTCCGACTCCCCGGCGGAGGCTCGGCCCTAATTGGCAGCTCAGCATCCTACGAAGGTCTAGAAATTCGAACCTAGGGGCTGAACCCCGCCCGCAGTCCAACCGGGAAGAGGCGACGCAATGGGACCCGCCCCCTCCCCGCTCGGAGCTAGTTCCCGGCTCCGTGGGCGGGGCAGGGCGAAGAGGCTGACCAATAGAAGTCCGGCGCGGGGAGCGTCCGCTCGCCTATTGACCGAGCCAAGTAAACAGAGGGCGGGGCTGGGCGGGGCGGTGCCGGTGGCCCGGGAGGGGCGCAGAGTGCGCGGCGGGCGGCGGCGGCCGGGGAGGCCGGGGAGGCCCGGGAGGCCGCGGCGCGGTCAGTCGAGCCGAGCCGAGCCGAGCCGCGCCGATCGCCATCGGCCCCGGCTCTCGCGGGCGGTCCCGGCCGGCGGCGCGGCCCGGCGGGCCGGGCGGCGCTGCAGCCCATGGAGCTCGAGAACATCGTAGCGAACACGGTGCTACTCAAGGCCCGGGAAGGTGAGGCCGGGCAGGCGGGCGGCCGGGCCCGGGTGCGGGGATCGCGGGCGCGCGACCTCCGAGCTCCACGGGGCGCCCGGGCCCCAGCTCCCCCTCGTGCCCTGGAGTCTGCACCCGGACTCTTAGCGCAGGCACGAGCCCTTCCGGCCTGTCCCCCGCACCTGCCCCCGGAACCAGGGGCCCAAGAGGGGCGGGGGTCGCGCCGCGGGCGTCGCGGCGGGCGTGTGGGGGGTGATGGAGAAAGGGAAGGAAGAGGAAAAGTGGGACGTGAGCCCCAGGAGCGTGTGTCTGAGGCCTTCTAGGTGAGAGTCAGGAAGGTGCCCCACGTGCCCCAGGCCCGGATGCCCTGAACAGCGCAAAGTTGATAATCTGTAAAGATTGGAGAATGAATGAACCAAGCCTTTGCACAGACAGCCCAACCGACATGGGGAAACTTGTGGATACCTACATTACCAACAGAACCGCCACTCACTAGGGGACTCTGGACACTAAAAACGGGTGAATGGGCAACGGTTTTTGCATTCATCCAGCAAGCCGGTGACCTGTTAGGGCAGACGCACAAAGAAATAAATGGGACCGTGGTCCTGGGCTGTTGAAACTGAAAGGCCTGGCTGGGAAACCAGTCTTGTGGAATTAGTGTGCGTGCACATGGATATGCTTCCGAGTAGCGCCTTATTGCTTTCACTCCAGACGTTCACTTGCACCTGCTCTGTGAGGGTCCTGGTGACACAGTACCAGACATTAAACTCACTGCCACACTACCTCAGCGACATACTGCCCCACTCTGTCCAGGGCGCTGGGGGGAACGGACATTGAGCAAGATTCTCCCATTTAGAACTCCAGGATCATAGTGACAGTTTTCCACCTTTTGATGGGCTTCCAGGCTGAGAGAGTCGTTAGCTTCACTGTTCTGTATCAGGTTACAGGTGGGAAACTGAGGCTCAAAGCAGCCAACGACTAACCCCAGCTTACCCAGCAAGATTGTAACTGACCCAGGCTTCGGACAAAAGGTACCCAGTAGAGTCTATGGCCACCTCAGGGAAGCCCCCACCCGGTGTGGTGCAGCATCTGATGTCCTCTGCCTACTCGGTGCAGTGTCACACCCAGGGAGGTGTTGCCTGGAAATGGGATAGGCAGCCTGGGTCCCTAGTGCCCAAGGGAGGCTATCTTATCTCCTGTCCCTTATCAAGCTCAGGGGCTGGGCCTTCCTCTCAGCCTCTGGGGGCATCTGCAGATTCTGTTCTGCCTCGTCATCCAGCCAGTCAGGGAGGAGGGGTAAGGAGAGCTGGGGCCAGGCCTCACTTCCTAGGGATAGCCAATTCAGGCCTTAGGCCCCCTAAGGGCATTGCCTTGCTGGGCCAGACTCTGTGGGCACCTGTGTATAGGCTTTGTCGGATCTTGGGTGAGGCACAGGATGGCTTGGCCATAGTGGGGACCAGAGCCTCACCTAGAGGACCGTACTCTGAACTGGCTGCGACCCCCACCCCTATGCATCCCAGCAAGGCTTTTGCCCTGCTTGCTACCCCTCAACATCATCGATCATATGTGTATGTGTGTGTTCTAAGGAAAGCCTCATTGTCGTGGAGTCTTCTACCCAAGGTTCTGTTAGAATCATTTCACACAAAAGCTCACAGTTTGCAGCCAGCTTTCCAAGTTTCCAGAGACCCTAGCAGTTGGGAAACCTGTGTTATATGTATACAGTTGTGTGCTGATTCTGTTTTTGAGCCGGTCTCCCTAGATAATCTTGGCTTACACGGGACTTTCTATGTAGACCACAGGCTGGCCTCGAACTCAGAGTTCATCCTGCTTCTTCGTCGCAAGTGCTAGGATCAGAGGTCAGTTGGCTTTTAACGAATGCTAGTCATGTTAGAGGTGGGTAAGGAACTTGAATTTGGGGGTTGGGGTTGAATTCCCTCCCGCGTCATGATAAGGCTCTGAATTCGCCACTCAGACAGTTGGCTTTCTCATGAGCTTGTGGGATTTTGGTTAGGTGGGATGACCCTGGGGGCACCCTCACCTGGGTTTTCTTCCTTCCCCAGGTGCCAGAGGCACACCGGAGGGCAGGGCAGGGCAGGGTTGGGTAGAGAGGAGCCCCACAGATTGGCAGCCAGTTCTAGGACGGGATATTTGCATGTGACTTTTTGCTCTTGCCTTGATAGAGCTGGGAGGAGGGAGAGGAGGAAGTGACTTCTGGGGGAGGCCAGCGAATGGAGGCTTGGGTGAGGGACCTGGGTGGAGGGGGAGTGTGAGGAGTTCCACTTCTGGGGAGGCCTTGCCATAGGCTAGTGAGTGGAGATCTCTTGCTCACTTGCAGTGAAGCAATGGCTGTGGGGCACACAGGCACAGGCGGTGTGGCAGGGCCACCGGAGGGTTTCTCAAGGGGACACTGCAGTACTTCCTCCTTCCTCGGGGAACCCATGGGGACCCAGCCCTACCCCCCTTTCCCAGAAGTCAGCTTCTCCTACACTACTTACACTGGGTCAGGTGGAGACCCTGCTGGGGAAACTGAGGCCAGGCAAGTGAGACTGATTGCCTAAGGTTGTCAGTGAGTTGGAGCTGGGTCTTGCCTCTTTCCACAACCCCACTGAGAGGTGGACACGCAGTCTCTCCCACTCAGCTCCCTAGTGCCTCTGGCAGTCCCAGGAACACTGAGTGGTGTGGGTGATGCAGTGAAGGCCAGAAGTATGGGTTGGAGTTTCAGATTTGGGTCCCAAACACACATGTGTTCCCTCACTGACATGCTCAGTGTTCCTGCAGTGTGGGGTTTTATTTGGTTAGTTGTTTTTTGAGACCTTGCCTATATAGTCCTGGCTGTCCTGGAACTCACTATGTAGACCAGAGACCCTGCCTCTGCTCCCTGATGCTGAGACTGAAGGCATGCACCATCATCCCCAGCCTATTGTTTTTAGTTTTATTTTTCAAATTTCTAGTCCAGTTCTCCTACTCCTCACTGTTTCTGCAGGTTGGGATAGGAACTGCAGAGCATTAATCTACCTGTCAGATTTTGGATGTGTCCCAGCTGCTATTGTGGTCCCAGCAGCTGGGCAAGCATCAGGGCGAGAGTAGGGGCAGCCTGAGTGCCAGCCTTTCTAATACCACATTGCTGTGGCCAGGGAAATAGTTCTGGTGCAACACTTGGTATAAGGGGCCTGGGAGGTTGTCTAGGCTGCCCATGGTATCTCAAATCTGTCCCATGCACATAGGATCACTGGCTGGCATGCCTTGGCCTTTTAAGTGACCCCCTCCACCGTGGTGTCTTTGTCTGTCTGCTTTTTTGTTTGCTTGCTCCTCCCTCCCTCCCTCCCTCCCTCCCTCCCTCCCTCCCTCCCTCCCTCCCTCCCTTCCTTCCGTCTCTTGTCTCTGTCTCTCTCCCTCTCTCTGTCTCTCTCCCCTCCTCCAGGGTCTCATTATGTAGCCGTGGCTTTCCTGGAACTGACGTGTAGAATGTAGACCAGGGGCTGGAGATAAATGGCTTAGTGGTTAAGAGCACTTGACTACTCTTCCAGAGGTCCTGAGTTCAATTCCCAGCAACCACATGGTGACTCATTACCATCTGCAATGGGATCAGATTCCTTCTGGTGTGCATGAAGACAGAGTGCTCATACATAAAATACATGAATTAAAAAAAAAGGTGAAACCAACTTGCCAGTTGGACCACTTGCCTTTTACTAGAACATGGGTCCCGCATGCCTTTAATCTCAGGAGGCTGAGGCAGGCAGATTCTCTTGAGTTCGAGGACAGCCTTGTCTATAGAGTCCATTCCAGGACAGCCAAGGCTACACAGAGAAACCCTGTCTTGAAAAACAATGATGTGACAGACTTTGAAGATCCCCTATGGGAGGATGGGAGGGAGAGAGAACTGGGATTGCTATGTAAAATAAAATTTGTTCTTAATTTAAATAGAAAAATTTTTTTAAGTAGAAGAAATGAACAACCAAAAAGTGTAGACTAGGCTGGCCTCATCCACCTGCTTCTTGAACACTGGTGTTAAAGGTGTGCACCACCACTACCTGGCTTCTTACCTGCTTTTTTTGTTGTTGTTGTTGTTTTTCCAGACATGGTTTCTCTTTGTAATAGCTCTGGCTGTCCTGAACTCACAGAAATCCACCTGCCTCTGCCTCCTGAGCACTGTGATTAAAGGCGTGCGCCACGAACGCCCAGCTCTTGTCGATGTTCTTAACCTGCAGGGTTCCTACTGAGTGAGGGGCGTGAATGAAAACCTGAAATGTCCTCACTGTTCCTTTTGGTTCTCATCCTGGGAGCCCTTCGCGTGGGTGTCCAGAAGGACCGTGTGTGTACTGGAACTTGTGAGTGCGTGCTGGAGTGTGTGGTCGCGCAGGACCCCAGTGCGATCCGGCTCCTGGTTGTGAGTGCGGCTCCTGGTTGT